TTAAAGGATTCCAGTAGCGTTTATTATACATTCACGCTGGACACTAGCAAACCAACCCTTTCAACGGCAACCCATGAATTACAGATTTAAGACTTCTTCTGGTAAGCAGAACGATGAAAAGCCTGTGGCATTTTATGAAAAAAAAAACAATCACGGATCTCACGAAATATTAATGTGAAACATTTCTGATGCATAGAGAAATTGACAGAGAAAAATAACAGACGTCTGAATGAAACAATATTTACTGATGACAAATAAAAATCAAATAAAAACATAATTAGCACCACAAGCCATTACAAACGGCGAGAGCTTTCGGGGGGAACGATGTAGAGCAGTCAATTTACGCACTTAGAATTACAAACTTCAGGGTTTAATGCTAATTATTGTCATTTGTGGCACGCACGTGCACATTCATACAACACAATTACGAATAAACACACATAACCATTTAAGAGAGCTTGTTAAGCCTTAATGGGAGCATGACATTGCAGAAAGACAGGTTCGGCATGCATAAGATTCGTCGAATAGAAATCTCTTGCACGTTTGCGCCATCTGAAAGCAGCTGTGCAACTACAAGCGCATTTCTCTCTCCAAGGGCTCTCGTTTGCCGTGAAGTCACACTAGAGTAACACTAACTTCTGTAGAGTTCAGTGCACTTTTACAAACTGCCACCATACCAAAGTGTCCAAAGATACGGGAAAGTAAAAAAAATATGCCCGGCAGGCCTTGGCGGAGAAGAGCAGAGATGATCCGGGCAGAGAAGAGCAGCAGCAGCGGGTTGCTGGCGCTGAGGCTCCAGTGCTTGTACTGTAAACATGAAGAGATGGACGGACCCCCTCCATCCCCTCTCGCTCATTCGGTTCCTTCTGTTCTGCTCTCTGCGGACTCTTCCTCACTTGCCCAACCGCTGATCGCACATCGCATAGCGCTGCAGAGCACCAAACAGGTCGTCGTAAGAGACGTCTACATGGGACGGCATGGAGCTACAGGTGGAGAGGAGAAAAATGGAGAGAGAATGAATACTTCAGAACTAGGGCTGCACGATAAATCGCACTGTAAACATGAAGAGATGGACGGACCCCCTCCATCCCCTCTCGCTCATTCGGTTCCTTCTGTTCTGCTCTCTGCGGACTCTTCCTCACTTGCCCAACCGCTGATCGCACATCGCATAGCGCTGCAGAGCACCAAACAGGTCGTCGTAAGAGACGTCTACATGGGACGGCAAGGAGCTACAGGTGGAGAGGAGAGAAAAATGGAGAGAGAATGAATACTCTAGTAAAAATATTATTGGGGGGGGGGACAAATAATAATAAAAAAAACTATTGATTAATTGGATATTTATAAAATATTGCTTCGGCTGCATTTCATGATTTTTAGCTAAACCTTTATGTGCAGCACAGAATACAGAATCAAATAAAAACTAAATTCAAAAAAATTCAAATAGAGCTTAAAAAAGAACCTCTTATGCTCACCACGGCTGGATCAAAATTACACAAAAAATATTATGTAAAATATTATTGCAATTTAAAATAATGGTTTTCTATTATAATATATTTTAAAACGTAATTTATTTCTGTGATCGAAGCTGAATTTTCATCATCATTACTCCAGTCTTTAGTGTCACATGTCAATGATTGTCTTCTGGACAACTGTGATTGTGTAGCCTAGTGAACCAAACTGAGAGACCATTTTGAAGGCTCAGGAAACCTTTGCAGGTGTTTTGAGTTGATTAGCTGATTGGCCTGTCACCATATTCTAATTTGTTGAGAACCAAAGACTTAAACTACTTCAGTCTGTGTGCACTGAATATATTTAATACACGAGTTTCACAATTTGAGTTGAATTACTGAAATAAATGAACTTTTCCACGACATTCTAATTTATTGAGATGCACCTGTATATCTGTTATGCTGAATGACGATGGAATATTATTTCACCCATATTTTGACATTTTATTTTCACAGAAGTTATTTGAAACATTAAAGTAGACACTTTAATGTGTATAAAATCACTTTAATGTATATAAACTTCTTATGTATACAAAATCACTTGTACATTTAATCTGATGCGGAAACCAAAATGGGACATGTCGTCTTTGACCCACATTATTACAGATAACCATAACCATACTATCTGACATCAATATGAGCAAAAAAGGCATAAAGGCAATCATATGTGAACACAAAGTACTACACCAATACATCACGTTTGTGCATTGATCTCTTTGCTCAAGTCATGGGTGTTGAAAAAACAACAGGTGACTGGATGCATGTGACTGTCATTCACTTCTCTTTATTCAATGCATAAGAATCCAGATTAGTCTTACCTTGATTATCATAAACACTGACATATGAGATGCCTACTGCCATGCACCAGACCACTAGATTGGCGATGTCAGTGAAGTGGATCTCCTCCTCGGTGATCAACAACCCCACATGAAGTGGCAGCTTCTCTAACGTCCTGCCATCGGCTCCCCAGCGAACCCGGCGGCTGGTCCGTTTGCCTATGGGTCCAGTCTTTTTCGGATTATGAAAGCCGAGGGCAAGAGGCAGTAACAATCCCAGCACGGCCCGTTTCCACCTCCAGATGTGGACTCGGAACCAGGCGAGCAGCGCGCGCTGGACATAGAGCAGCGCGTGCAAAAACCGCCACACCATCTCATTCAGTAAAGCCATGCTTTAAAGTCTTTTAAACGCGTCCAAGTTGAATATATCTATGGGATTTTGAAGTAAATTCCTCATATTAAAGTAATCTGTGTACGTGTGAGCGATGGTCTATCGAAAAATTTGCCATTTTGGTCACTGCCAACACCGCAGCGCGTCGGCTGCCATTTCTTCCTCCTGCCAACCTTTCCACTCTGAACCCACTGCTGTGTGACATGGAGCTCTCTGATTGGACGGCTGACAGAGCGTTGGCGCGTCATTCTAGCCGCTGGTCTGGGATCGGTTGTGACGTTTTCTCCGCAAGTGCTAAGGCGGGAGATGAACATTTGACGGCTGATCTCAGATCAAAACAAATCAAAATTAAGCCTTACGCGATATGGTGCCCTGTGATTGGCTGCTGTACCGGTAAGTGGAATGTGCGTTTATCCTATTAAATGTCTATTAATTTGATCAATGAATATAATAAGCTCAATATTTTATGTTTACTTCGGATATACATTTCAGATTTTACTTAATCTAATAGAATATATAAAACGTTTTCATAAAACAACTTTTAACACGTACTAACTAGCCAGTGTTTAATGGATCAGCGTTGCAACTATAAATTATATTTAATATATATTTTAATTTAATATTATTGTATTTTATATTATATAAATATTATATTGTATTAGAAGTGTAAAAAATTATATCATTTATTAATATTAAATTACAAAATATATTAAATTAATACTTTCAATATTATTTATATATTATATTTTTATATGTTACTATGACAAAAATGGCTTTTTATGGGTCTGTTTATGATTTCTTTCTGGAGGTTAATGAAACAAAGCCATCTGAAAACCATCTTTTCCAATCCAAATACAGTTGATTTTATTTTAACGCGTCCATATCACTGATGGTGACCAAATTGGACAAAACACCACAACAGTGATCATTTATTGTTCATTCTGTATGGGATGGCAGAAACAAAACATGCAGCGAGGCAGAACAACATTGCAGTTATGTCTTCATATGTAAGGATTACATTTACAAATCATAATCATCGTATTCCTCGTTGTCTATGTGATCAGTTTTTCTCTCCAGTAACAAATCCCTGGTCTGCTTCTCACAGATATCTTGTGCCAGCACATAAGCTCGCCATTCATCAAGAGATTCATGGACAGGCTCGCTGCAGAAATCAGGCCTGATTTCCACATCCTGTGCCAAAAGGGCCTTTTTGACCTCAAGGAGTTCACAGCTGCACTGCCACGGGTTTCCATCCAAATATAGAAGTTTTAGTTTTGGTAGGTTCAATGCAGGCAGGGTGGAGAGTTTGTTGTTGCGCAGATTTAACACCTGCAGTCGCCTGAGAGGCTTCAGCTCACGTTCATGTATCGTGTCAATGTTGTTCCCCTTCAGATCCAAACGGACCAGTGTCTCAGGAAGGCTGGTATAAAAAGAATATAAAAAAACTGATTAAAAGAAACAGTTATCAAACAGTTATCATTTAACATGACCAATTAACAGAGGTGTAAAGTATTGGAGTAAATGTAATTAGTTAAGTTGTTTTGGAATTGGTGACTTGTAACGTGTAGTGGAGTAATTTTCACTGTAAGGTATCAGTACTTTTACTCAAGTATGGTTTTTAGGTACTCTTTACACCTCTGCCAATTAATCACATCATAAAATAAACAAATAAATGCATAATGCATAAATATAGTAAATGTATGCATGCATAAATAAATGTGCAAATGAATAAATACATCCATGAATAAATGCATAAATAAACAAATACATAAACTCATAAATAAAAAAATAAAAAAAAACATTTTCATTACTTGAAATAAAATGAACGATAACTGAAATAAAATAAAACATGCGATGTGTTTTATTTTAACTAGTTGCCAAGGCAATGTTTCTCATTTTCATTTAGTAATGACTTGAATAACTAAAATAAGACAATAAAACTGTAAAAACTATACAAAAAGGCAAAAACATACCAAAATTACTCAAACTAACTGAAATTAAAATGAAAACTGGAAAATATTAATATTAGTCATTCATTAATATTAATCATATTAATTAATATTAATATCAAAATGTTAAAATAAAATAAAAACTATAGTATTATTTAAATGATACTAAAAAACACAGACTGACTTTACTTCAGAGGAAATCAAATGAATATCAATATGTGACCCTGGACCACAAAACCAGTCATAAGGGTCAATTTGAAAATATTCATATTAATTATATTAATCATACTAATTAATATTAATATCAAAATGTTAATAAAAAACTATTATTTCAATGATACTGAAGGTGAGGCGGTTTGAAGACAAATCTAACGTTTTTAGAAGCTGCAGTGAAGAGAAGAACGTTGATGATATGGAGGAGATCCTGTTGCTTCCCATGCTAAGCAAATGTAGAAAGGGCAACCTGGGGGCGCCATGTATTGATTCGATTTTATTTCCATCCAGATAAAGACACTCAAGCTTTTGAAGTAATGTTAGGGTGTTTGCGCGCAAGGTGCTAATCTGGTTATTCTGGAGGTTCAGGACCCGCAGCTTCTCGAGGCCCTCCAGGGGTGACTCTTGTAGGCTGTGGATCCTGTTGTGGCCCAAATGCAGGATCTCCAGGCCAGAGGGCAGGCCACGGGGAAGCTGTCTCAAATAGTTTTTTTGAAGGTCCAGAGTTCTTAACAACACGTGAGATCTGAACACATTGGCGTCAATCTGCTCGATCCCACCAGAAGACAGAACTACTTCTTCAAGGCCTGGCAGACCAGAAAAATCTCTGGCCTATAAATAACACAATCTGTTTAAAATCTACCAGTATAATAGGCACTAAGAATACATGAATAATAATCATTAAAACTTTAATTAGAGAAAAATCACATAGTACAAAAATGTAAAAAATGAAACTAAAATTTCGAGAAAATTAACAAGAAAAAAATGATTTCATCCACTGAGAATGAATTAATCAATCAATCAATGACTGAATGAATTGATGATGATTAGATAGATAGATAGATATAGATAGATAGATAGATAGAAATAGTCAGTAGATAGATAGATAGATAGATAGATAGAAATAGTCAGATGATAGATAGATAGATAGATAGATAGATAGATTACAGAAAAATCACATAGTACAAAAATGTATAAAATGAAACTAAAATTTCAAGAAAATTAACAAGAAAAAAATTATTTCATCCACTGAGAATGAATGAATAAATCAATCAATGACTGAATGAATTGATGATGATTAGATAGATAGATAGATAGATGTTTTAATCCTGAACAGCAAAATAAAATCAATTAAGAACAAACTAAAAATTACCTTCAGTTCTTTGAGATGATTGTATCCCAGGTGTATTTTCTTCAGGTTGTTTGAGATGAGCGGTGGTACAGACTGAACCCTAAAGCACTGCACTGAGGTTGCTTGCTCACAGATGCAGTTTTTTGGACAGATGTGGCTGCAGTGGGCATGTTGACTGTAGAGTAAGACACACAGAAAAAGGCAGAATACCATCATTCTGAGAAAACAGCTTCAAACGCCTCTGTGCTGAAGCAGTATTTTAAGTGTCTGAGGCTTAAATAGCTGAGCCAGATTCACCCTTGTGAGAATAAGACTCCTCTGCTTTGTTTGAAACAATGGCTGAGATCATTATCTTGGTTAGAAAACAAAATTCGACACCAGCAAGGAACTGACATATCAGCAGTAGAAAGTCCTGTCTGTTTGCAAATGTAAGAAACTTGCTGATAAACTATTTACAACCTATTAGTTAAACAAATGCATTTCTTCTGTATAAATGCTTTGGCCTCTCTTTGCACTCAGGAATATTCACTTCACAAAATAAAGTTTTAAAACCAAAAATGTATAAACATTTTATATTTTGGACTACTGGATTAAAAAACTACTAACATTACTGACTGTTTTTTTTTATAACATAAAGTTTTAATTTCTAAAAAGCTTAAAAAAATTAAATGAATGAATGAATGAATAAATAAATAAATTCATCCATTAATAAAGGTTGGGTGGTGCAGCAAATAATCACAAATCTCTGGTTATTTGAGCCAAATATGATATCATAATCGATTAATTTAACATTTGATAGTATGTCATTAGCAGTGTTATTTAGTATCACTGAGATACTACTGTAGTTTTATTAATATTTTGAATCAGTTTTTATTTTAATATTTGCTATGTTTATTTTACTTTTAAAGTTTTAGTAAATTTGTTGTGTTTTTGTACACACGCGCACACACACACACACACACACACAGTATATACATATAGTTTTTATTGATTTTATTTCAAATTAAACTAAATTAAAACGAAAAATGTTGCCTTTTTATATTTTATTTTATTTCAAGTAAGTTTTTTAAATTTAATTTTAGTTTCAGTTTTAGTTAATTATAATAACCCTGGTAATTAGTTTAAAGGTATTATTATTATTTCATCATAATGTTCTCTAATTCAGGCTTACATAATTATACGGTTTTCCTAAATATTACAACTATTAAACAATATTAATAACAGAAACCAAGCGTGTATAGGCATTATTAACAAGTGCAAATATATTATACAGTTCAACAACTAATAAAATGATAATAACTACTGTGTTTATATTATGCCACAGACGGTGTTATCTGCTGTAAATTCCCACGAAGTAATTGAGGAGATCTGACGTACTCAGTAATCGATTCGCTCGTCTATCGACGGCCTTCTTCATTGACGGGCCGGCCTCATCGTGTGGCAGACCAAACTAATCGATCCACGCTGTTGACTTGTGCGATCTCGGATTTCCTGGTCAGATGAGAGCACGGAAAACACATCAACAAATCATCACTCTCAGTCTATCACATCGGAAGTCTATTGTTAATATAACTTAAACGGCCGGGTGATCGCCCCGAGTAAAGGACTAGTTTCAAGTTATCTGTGTGTTCTCCCTGTATCCGTGTTAAAGATGTCTGCGTCCGCTGGCGGTGTTGTATCTCCGGGCTCGGCCCTCTCACCCGGTCCCGCTGCGGCTGCCGGCTCCGGTATGTCCATGTTCCGATGGCTGGAGGTGCTGGAGAAGGAGTTTGACAAGGCGTTTGTGGATGTGGATATGTTACTGGGAGAGATCGACCCGGATCAGGCAGATATCACATATGAGGGCCGTCAGAAGATGACCAGTCTCAGCTCATGTTTTGCTCAGCTGTGTCACAAATCCCAAACCATCTTTCAGCTCAACCACAAACTAGAGGTGAGGAAAATAAATGGATGTTCTTCTACAAAGTCTCCAGACAAAGTTGTTGTTCTTTCGTTTACTGACATAGGAACTGCATGGGACTGACCCACTAGTACTTAATGTCAGAATAGATGATTATAATGGCTGTTAAGTCTTTAATGACTGATTTTTTTTATTTTATTCTACATGAATAGAATATAAATAGGTTATGAATGTTCTCTGAATTTTCAGCTTCATGTTTCAGATGGATTTCGAACTACTACCAATCTACTCTCACCAAAAGTACCATGTAAATATAGCATTGACACATAAATATAGCTTTTACTACCATACACATGGTACTTTTTGAAAGGGGCAGGATTCGCATGGTCTTAGAAAACTTGGAAATATCAGGGAGTTTTTGAAGTGTATTTTCCACACCTGGAAAAGTCACGGAATCTCAATATGTCATGGAAATTTCTATAGTGATTTCAGTTTTGCAATAACTGCAACATTTAATTGGCTGTAAATTGTTCTTTTTGAGTGTAAAATCAATGTAAAAAAAACACTTTGGCAATAAGGAGTGGGAACCCTGAAATGAAAACGGCTCGATAATGTTGAAATATTATATGTATAGATGTCAACAGTGCATCATTTGCATTTTGAATTATTAATTTCGATCCTGGTATTCTGTTTCAATAATGTTCTTGTTGCGTAAACATAAGGTTTTCATTCCACATAGCACATTGCAAAGCTTTTGAGACGTAATTACAGTGCACTTCTTTTGGTCAATAAATAAGGCCTACAGTACAGTTAATCTGGTTATCGCACAATAAACCCAACAAGGTGATCAAAACCCCTTCGCAAAGCAAGTCTTGTACGTCTTGTGCATAATTAGTGTGAAAGTTGTACATTTGAAAGTTTGGCAAATGAGCTTCTTTGCATTGTCAAAATAAACCGTATAGGCTGAAAATGGTCAGAAAATTAGATGAACTCATGTCACTGAATGGCCTGTTATGTTCCCTTCAGTCTGCTCGTCACTTCATGTAGGCTGTCTGATAAATAATGCATATGTGCATTGAAATTAATGCACTTGTCGTTTTGTTTCTTTCATTTTTCTCTGGACACACAGATGGCAGTATTCTGGATGTCAACTGCATAAACATTAAAAGTTGCCAGTTCAGTATCACATTTCTTTATCCACCGGAAATGCTTTGCATATGGTGCAAACCGTGTTGGTGTAGTCACAAAACTAGGTGGATAGCATATAAAAACCTGTTAAACCTGTTTAGCTAATGCCAGACTGGTCATTCTTCTGTTTAAACTGACTGCAGTGCATCACATAAATGATCCCTTAACTTTAACAGCAGCATAACATGCACTTATGTGCCAGGTCATGTTTGTATTAAGTATTGTTGCTGTTGAGCTCCGCTATCCTGTGCTTTTTCTGTCACACAGTTTGGATAATTGGCATCTTGTCTGTGCGTTAGCAGATTCCGGCTTCTCAGGAGACCTGCTCGTGTAATCTGCTTTTCCCACCACTTTTCAAATCTGTTAATGGCTCTTTATCAAAACTTACAGTCCAATTTGAAAAGCAGTATAATCTTCCACAAGGGAAATTAATCGTCTTTGCCGTGGAGGAATCACTTGAGTCCAGGAGATAATAATTCAAAATAACAGGTTCTCGACTGTAGTGACTCGCCGGTATATTTGTGTGGGAGGCTGAATTTCTTTCTGAAAAAGTAGTTTAGCAGGTGAAGAGGTCGCACATACACCCACCTCTTCACCGTCGCAGCTGAGCAGAGCAGATTAACGCACGGCTTGATTAAACACTCCCTGCTGTACAAGAGGAGAGTTGGATGTGACAGTGAAGATTACAGCTTCCTGTCCTTAAAAAAGTACTGTAGCGGTACTATGGCGCAATGATGGTACCATTTCATGCTATTTATGTACATGATAAGGTACTATTTAGATGGCATTGTCAACCCGTAATGTGATGCATTGCTGAAAGAAGCAGGATTTTTGATAGGGATTTATTATACCAATTAATTTTTTGTCATTTCGAATGATGTTTTAGTGGGGGTGCCTTAATTAGTGTGCTGTGCATTAGCTATTAGAAAGTTTTCACAGCAAACATCTTTCTGGAAATGTCGTGTTCGGAAATGAATGCCATTTAAAACACTGCCAGTAGACATGAACATTCAGATAGATGTTTTTTGGTCACTGCATTGCGTCATTCACTTTTTTCGGTATCTTAAAGTTGCGCTGAAACAGAAGAGCTTGTGATGCACATTTGAGTGAAGCGGATTATTAAAAAAAATAAATAAATGTATGGTGCGGCCCATGGTTCTATCCATTAGTTGTTGACTAGATGCAGGCAGATCTGAATGTGAGCTTGTAGTCGATTGTAAAAATGGGACAGGGCTTACGCAGACTAAATAATTTGAGAAATCCAGCAAACGTCACCAGAGAGAAGTCTGTAGTTTCACTGGAAGATCGAGTTATGACAATTTGTTTAAAAAAAAGAAACATGCATGGATGACTTTATCACAATTAGATCAGAAAACAACCATTTAAAAATTTTCGGAATTCATATTAATTCATATTAACTTTAAATAATAAATCATGCATAATAATTCTACAAACATGGATTAAGACAGTAAATAGGGTCAATTTTGATTTCATGCTGACTTAAAAATCTACTCCTGTGATGTCATTTTCCAAAGGATTCATCCAAATATCTGTACCAAACACCCTCTCTGAAGGCTGCTACTCTATAAAAGGTCTCGGCCTGCAACAATGAGGCATTTTTCTCTAGTCATAGGCTGCAACTACCTTTGTACTTTGGTGCCATCGTTTCAGTTGCATTGTTAAGTTCAGGGAACATATTCGATTTTGCTAGTAGAAGTGTTGTTACAGAGTATATGGACTTACTAGCATTTTAAAGTAGATTGTCACTTTTTATTGGGATGGGCTGCAGTGGGAATCTAAAGTATTCAGAGTAGGGCTGTCCCAAAAAAAATTCGAATTTCGAATATTCGTCGAATTAAAAAAAAAAAAATCCACATTCCAATGCAAAAACGTTGCATTCGAATTTTAGGTCTGCATCAGCCGTCATGCAGCCTTATCAGTGGCGCACGAAATGCGACAACAATGTAAGTGTCATTGCTAGGCCTGTCACGATAACAGCTTATTGTTGTGCGATATATTGCCCCAGAAGTAATTGTGATAAGCGATATTATTGTCATTTTAAAGACCATTTTATGCCACTGAAGAGCATCAGTGTGGAGAAGATGTTGTTTACGTCAAAACTGAAACCAAGCCGTTCACACAGAACGCATATTTATCACATTTTCTAGCTGGGCATCTATCAGCGTTGCACTCGCGTCTTACACAAGAGAGCGGCACGTTTAGAAAGCGTAAAATTAATGTAAGTTCAACTTTTAAAAATCATGTCTCAAGACGTTATGGCGGTTTTTCCCCATCCCACTGTATCTCATATTTTTAAATGAAGAAAGTAGCCTACTCTTTGTGATTGGGAGATTTTTCCATCTACAGATTTTTCCCTGACCTTCTTTTCTCTGTAAATGAAGGGTGCACACTATTGCTGAAAAAAAAAACAATCACTACCAGTCAGATGTCCGTATGCACAAAGGGACAGATCCCTAAACAAGACCATATCTGCAGATGAAACTTTTT